CACTCAAATAAAAGTTGTATCTTATGCTGCACAGAATCACTTTGATCTACACTAGCTCTACATCTTCTGGTCTTTGTATGTTAAAGACAAAACATGAACAGAAACCAACTACTTTAGAAGAGCTAAAACTGGGCTGTTAGTGGTCTCAGTTGCTTTCTGATCTCTATGGTGATATAAATAGTGAGACTGTCCTGACATTGTTAACAGGGACACAGAATCAAATGAGGAGCAGCCCAAAGTTAGTCTTTATGTCAAACACTGTGCAGTTTTAAAGGCATGCTCACAACTACTACTCCATCATTGCATTCACATTAGACCAGATGATGTTTTTTGACCATTGCTCAGATAAGGAAAGTGAGGGCTCAGACAGGCTAGTAACCAGAGAAAGGTCACACAGATGCATGCACCATGAACATGAAACTAGAATGTAAATAACCTGAACCCTACTTCTGGGTTACTGCCATTTTACAGTGAATAAGGAATTTTCATCTTTGCTGCTAAACCCACTTTAAAGTCATGACTGTCCCCCAAAAGTCCTGAAAGACACTGACAATGAGGTGCAGGGTTTGGGCTCGAGAGAAAGAACCTGGCTCTTACATATGCCAGCCGGTCATTTCACGGGAGCAGAGAAGAGTAAGTGCCGGAGCCTCATTCAGACTCAACCCAGCTCTCACTTCGCTATTTGGGACGAGCTCAGATTTGGATGTGTATCGGAACCATCTAGAGATCTTGTTAAAACAGCCCTCCCCCAAGCATTTCTAATTCAGCAGGCCCAGGTAAGGCCTAAGATTCTGCACTGGTGGTGATGCTACCAACACAGAGAAGAAAGACTGTCATCCTGGGCTCTGGAGGAGAAACTGGCACCAAGGTGATGGATGTGTTAAATAAAAGCATCTCTGTCATTTCATTCATTATTAGACCAGATCACTTCTAAAGTGATCAGATAGACATTACAGCCATAGTTCTCAACCTCCCTAATGCTGAGACCCTTTAATAACCTCCATGTTATGGGGACCCCCAACCATAAAATTATCTTCACTGCTACTTCATAACTGTAATTGTGCTGTTGTTATGAATCACAATATAAATATCTGTGTTTTCCAATGGTCTTTGGGGGTCATGAGCCACAGGTTGAGAACCACTGCATTATAGCATTTTTTTTTTTTCTTAAAGAGCCAGTTTTCCTGAATGTTGTTTCCGTCTAAATCAAGGAAGGGTCTTCTTAAAAGCTTGTGTGTATGTGTGTGTGTGTGTGTGTGTGTGTGTGTGTGTGTGTGTGTGTGTGTGTGTATGCACACTCACACATGTGTGTGCATGTAGGGTGTTTATGTGTGGGCACACATTGTGCAGGTGCACGTGGAAGTGAAAGGTTGGACTCCGTTGTCTTCCTCGATGGCATCCTGCTTCCTTGCTGAGACAGTCTTGCTGAACCTGGAGCTGGCTGACTCGGCTAGTCTAGCTTGTCCCAGGGATCTTTGTGCCTTCACTTCTGGAACCCTGGGATGGACTACAGGCAGGCCATCCTGTCTACTTGGCTTTTATGAGTGCTGGAGACCCAAACTCCAGTCCTCACACTTGCTGAGTAAATACTTTACTCTCTGAGCCATCTCACCAGCCTAAGTATATATGTTTAGAAGGAAAGTCTCACCTCTCATTCTCCCAAATGACAGTCTCACCTCTCATTCTCCCAAATGACAGTCTGCTCACCTCTCATTCTCCCGAATGACTCCAACCACTGGTATGCCCTCACCAAATTTGTGTGGCAGACTTTCCAGAGAGGCTATCGAAGAGTAGACCTTAGAACAGCACCTATAGCATCACCTTAGATCTCAGCAGAAATAAAAGTTCTACAGTCTCCAACCCTGGCCTGTTGAGTTAGGACAATGTGTACCGGGAACATAGCTCAATGGTACAGCACTTACCTACCATGTGTAAAGCTCTGGGTTCAACCCCCAGTACCATAAAAAATAATTTATTTTAACAGCCCCCCAGGTGAGCCTAATGCACACTAATTCAGCACAATCTGTCACTTAATGTTTGCTCAAATGAAAATAATTTCCCTAAAAATCCATGAGCCCAGAAGGACAGAGTCCATGCCTGTCATATTAACTGGCAACTCCCAACACATGGCTCAAGAAAGACACCCAAAGACACTTCTTGAATAAAGGAGTCCAGAGATCTCTAAAGGGTATGGGCTTATGAACTACACTGTAGCATCACACTCAAAGGCTTTCAGAATCTTTGCTGGGGCAGTAGAAGAGGAGGAAGGAAATGCTAGAGCCCCACATCCACTCCATCTCTTCTTCTTTGGCATGTTCTGAATTTGTCAGATGTTAAGAGTTTGGATATTAAATGTTCCCCCTAAGGTTCATGTGTTGGAGGCTTGGTGCCCAGCCCACAAAGCTAATGGAAAGCAGTGTAATTTCTAATGTGCGGCATCCTGTGACAGGTCTCAGGTCAATGGAGGCATATTCTCCAAGGACATAATGGTTCCACAGTCTCTCCCTTCCTCTTCCATTCCACTGCCATGAGGTGAATGGCTCTGTCCTGTCACACACGCTCCCAATACGATGTGCTGCCTCTCCATGGGTTCGAAACCATAGCAAAGACTGGCCATAGGTCGAACTTTCCAAAATTGTGAGCCAGAATAAAGAAAAGAGTCCTTGTGACTTGACCATCTCATGTATTTGTGACAACAACAGTGTGGCACTTTGAATAGAAACGGCCCCTGCAGGCTCATATCCTCAAATGTGTGGTCATAAGAGGGAGGCCCTACTTGGCAGGGATTGGGAGGCATGGCCTCGGAGAGGGTGTGGCCTTGTTGTAGGAAGTGTGTCACTGGGGGTGGGCTTCTGGGTTTCAAATGCTCAAACCAGGCCCAGCGCCTTGCTCTTCCTGCTGTCCACTGATCAGGATGCAGAACGCTCAGCTATCTCTCCAGCATCATGCCTGATTGCATGCTGCCACGTTCCCTGCCATCATTAATGGACTAAACCTCCAAACCAGTAAACCAGCCCAATTAAATATATTCCTTTACAGGATTTCCACGGTCATGGTTCTCTTCACGGCAACAGAACACTGACTCAGGCAAAGAGTGAGCTGCCGAGCACATTTTCATATACATTTCACACCCCCATCCCACAGGCCCGCCAAGTTCAAGGCCTCAGCCAGAGTTACCCTAGAGTATGATTCCACTCACTAGTAGACTGCAGAGTTCTCCAGGTGCTTCTGACATCTCTCAGGGGCAGGTGTCTAGCTGATGCGTAGGCTGAGTCATCATTATCCGTGGAGAAAAGCACCACAGCTAGAAACAAACATTTCCCAGACAGAAGTAACCCGTCTGGTGGACTCCACTATAGTGAAAATGTATCCCCAACCCCAGTCCTTCATTCTCTCCACAGCCAATGGAGCACTCAGTGTCCCACCCCCTGAGAATGCACAGCTTCCCTCGAACAACCTGAAGAAAAAAACTCCAAGCCTTGCTGATTTACTAAAGGTATTTTTATCAACTTCTAAACTTCACACTAATGTTGGTTTATTTTTCCTTTTCAGTTTTTGCAAACCATCTCTCCCCTGCTGTGAACCATGAGATGGTTCTTCAGGCTATTTGGTGAGTCATCAGCTGGGCATAGGACTCTGTTCTCAGGGTGTCCTCATTCCTGATAGCGGCCATTAGAATTACTCATGGGGTGCAGAAGCCACAGAGAATGAAGGGCCCACTGTAATAAAGCAGGCATCATTTCTTCTCTTGGTGAGCCCGCCTTTTACTGACGCTGTGGGTCCACTGTAGAAGTTCCAGAGAGGCAGTTACTCCACACTCCAAATGGCTGCTGCCTCTGTATTTCATTACAAAGAGCCCTTTTCTGGGCCTGTGGGAAGGGACTGCAATTTTCAATCACCATAACATTTAGCAGGCCTGGTGCTTGCGGCAGCACATTTGCTAAGGAACAGTTTAGACTGATGTACAGTCCAGGGGAGAATGTGGGTAGCCCCGAGTGAGACGAACAGGCTCATAGGCTGAGGGAGAAATGCATGCTCCACACACCTTTGAACACCCAGCTCTGCAAAGCCCCCCACTCCCACCTCCATGGTCTTACACAGTGGGCTGCAAATCTTGCGGCCAACACCAGCTCTTCTAGGACCCCTCACTGCCAGCAGAACGCAGTACAGGGCCATGCTCAACATCGGGCTGCATGGCCAGCCCTGCTTTATTTTTCTATTTCTAGGGCCTCGCGGACACTTCCCACATAGACCTTGGCTTTGCACTGGAACTGAACCCTCCGTGCTTGCCTCTGCACGCATCTCTTGCTTTCCAGCTCCAGTCCTTAGATGTGCTACTCCTTCTAGAACTTTCCTATCGGAATGGTAGCCACCAGCCAATGTGGCTACTTCAATTAAAATTATTTAAGTTCAATGGCAGAGCAGTCACAACAACTACATTCCATGTGCTCAGTCAGTGATCACGAGGACAGGATTTTAGGGTATTTCCACCAGCATTGAGGGTAATTCTCTGAACAGCACTGCTGTAGAAGGTCCAGTCTCTCCTGCTCCCCCTGCTAGTCAACAGCTCTTATTTTCGCACTGGGGTGTGTTTACTTCACCGTTCTTACCTTCCGTCTTCCCAGGCCAGCATACCACCCACCATCACCAGTTCCAACCCCCTGCAGAGGAATAGCAAAGCCCAGGCCCAGCACTGGACTCGGTAGGGGGAGATGGTGGCTCCATTCCATGCCAGCCCTGGGCCACACTGAAGAAGTCACCATATGGACCCCTCGAGCCTCTGAGATGCTTTCTCTACCTCCTTTTACAGAGTATCTACACAAAGATCTTTGGTAGATGATGGATCCCACCCTCCGCCTCAGGGAAAGTCCTGCTGGAGATGACCTGCCACATGGCATGACAGCGATCAAGCGCTCATCCCTGTCAAGCTCACCAAGTGCACACAGAACAAACGTCAAATGCAGGTGGTCCCTTTCCAGCGCTGGGGCTGGGGGCGGGCTAACAGCTGCTTGGTTTCCCATCTCTTCCATCTTTCTCCCCCCACGTATCGAGCTCTAGGTGAGCACCCTGACCTTTTCTAAAATAAACCCTCAAAACTGGGGCTAAAATTAACCACGCTGATTAGCTTAGCCTACAGCATCACACATGAGACTGTGAAAAGAAATGATTTTCTTAGCCAAAATGCATATTCATGACCCTTTCAGTATGGAGGGCTAAATTAAGTAAGTATGGTACCTTTTATACACATATAGGACAGCAGTTCTACCACTTTATTCAAAGTGACATCCCTACATTTGATCGAGTTCACTAAGGGCTCTCCATCCTCCCTGAACACACAGGAAGGATGGGAGGGGAGGGAGGAAGAGAGAGAAAGGGAGGGGGCTTCATGATCGCTTTGGAAATAGGTCTCCTGTTAGCTCTAGAGTCTGATTCTTATGTGTCAAATTGATTCTCCCTTAGGCAAAACTACAACATTTCTCTGAACTTTTCTTTTTGCTTTGGAGAGCAAAAGTCAAAATAACTGGGTAAAATTTGTCTTTTCTCCACCCGATTCAGGGAAAAGAGTAAGAGCTAGGATATCCACTCTCTCAGGGGAAATACAGGAGATTTCTCAGTGGCCCTAAAGGAGTGGGCACAATGGCTGTGTGCCATTTGCTGGCACATGACACTTACTTCTGAGACTTTAGGCAGCTGGGTTAAGTTCCCTGGGCCTTAGATGTCTCATCTATAGCATGGGGCTTGGCAGTCTAAAACTCAGAGTTTGAAACTAGATGATCAAAGGGCATTCTTCTGCTCCAAGTCACAATAATCCGTGGCTGTCCCTCTAGGCTTTTACAGCAGAACACTGTAGAGTATGTGGTTTAAACTACAGAAGGAATTATTTGCCACAACCATGGAGCCCAGGAAGTCCAAGATTAAGGGGCTGTCAGACAGGTATCTGGTGAGGGTAGTTGTCATTTTTAGACTGGCCTCCCCCTCTTATATTCTCACATGATAGGAAGCAGAGAGACAGAAAGCAAGCTATCTTGTGTCTCTATTTACAAAGATACTAATATCATCAAGAGGGTGACCTGTCCACCTCCTGAAGCTCTACCTGTAAACAGAACCCACTGGGGAACAGGAGGGGACACAGTGTGCATCTCATTTCAAACAGTATGCAGAAAGTCACCTGGGGCTTGGTAAAATTTGGACTCATGCATCTCTGACATGTCTGAGGTGATGGAGATGCTGCTGCCCCAACCAGCCACACTGTGGGTAGCAAACAAACAAACCACTGCTTTCTACTCCTGGCCAAAGAAACATTTGTCTGGAAACAGGAGTAAAATTAATACTTACACAAAGTTTAACATTTGACATTGTTACAGACTAAGGCTTCCCCCTCCTATGTCACTCTGGCTGTGTGTACTCATTAACAGTTTCTTTCACATACATGAAGTGTGTTTGGCATAGAGAGAGCCAGCTAGGATTGTGAACCAGCTAGGATTCCGTTTTGATGAAACCCTGGGTCCATTCTCTCTCTTTTCCACTTGCTTCCTGGAAAACTTGTCTGGCACTGGCAGGTCCTCTGCTAACTCACCAGCTGGAGGCAGAAAGAAACCACCAGAAGAGACTTGCTGGTGTAGGACATTCTCAGTTCACCCATATGAAAACTTAACACACAAGATGGACAGGGATCACAAAGGAATATACAGAGGGAACCTGCTGCATGGAGAGCGTGGGTATGACACTCTGGAAAATTCTCCTTATCACACACATCAATTAAGGCACACATTTCTGATTGAATTAGAACTCCCTGTCATAAGGCTGGTATTTGCCTTTTTGTGGCTTGATGAACTGTTCAGCTTTGTTGGATTGTTCCTATCTGGCTTCTCAACTGACTCTGCCGTTACACACCTCCACTAAGAACAGATAAGGGGCACAGTGCATCTTGCCCTCTGCCCTAAGTGTGCCTCAACTTCTCACCCAGAACCACATCTCCAACTGCTTCTTGCTCTTGACTCTCGGACTAACTCTCTCATGGCTGATCTATCATTTACATCTTGGTTTGCCCAAAGGATTTCAACCCAGCTCAAATTAATCTTCAGTTCACTTTTCATCAAGCCTACACAGCCCAGAATCTCAGTGAGCTCAGCACAGTGAATGCCCACCATCCCTCCTTCTGGTCTCCCCTCTCCTTCCTGATTTGGGTCCAACTCTTTACATATTGACTCTACTTGATCAGCCGGTGTTTACTGAATCTTAGTTCATGCTTAGCTGACAATTTCCCCCCGAGAAACCAGCACCCACAATTGAAAACAACGTTGACATCATGGACTCCAGAGCCCTCCCCACTGGTATTCTACTCCTCAGTCCCTCCGAGTATTTGTGCACTTCCCTGACTGCATGCCACAAACAACAACAGAGCCTAGGGCATGCCTACTGATTTGCATCAAATTTTGTTCATAAACAGTGATGCTAAGTCATCCACTAGAAAATTAATTTTTTCTTCATTAATAAGTAAGGAGAAATAGATATGGCTTACATTTGCATGCTAATAGTGCTAAAGGGTGTTATTTCAGTGGCGTTGAAGCCAAGTTTCAGAAGGGGGAAGGAGAATGTCTTGGAAGCAAATGTCTTCCCTCATTTACATTTTCCAGGGCTGCCAGCGTCCACCCATATGTTCAGAACACAAAGGCAACAGGCAGGAAAGAGCTTAGGCCAGGGCTCAGCAAACCGCAGCCTGCAGGTCACCTCTGTACCCCACACTTCTGCACACCACATCTGTGGGAATCAGCCACAGCATGTGTCCTCTGCTGCTGCTTTCTCTCACCATCCAGAAGGGCAATAGCAGAGCTGAGTAACAGTGACAGAGGTGCACATCACAAAGCCCAAAATTTACCACTCACTGCGGAAGGAAGCCTGCAAACCTCACACAACAAATAGCTACTGATGCGGACTACTTACTGTATGTGAACCACGGAGTTGGAAGTAGCCTTTTGTTTGAATCCCTGACTGCTTCCAGATCATCCATCCATAGTAAGGTTGGAAATACCACAGCATTTTGTCAGCTGAAATTCTCTCCCAAAATGCCACACCCCTCTGTGGTAAAAATTTTGCAGGGTGACTGGCTCATTATAACTTTTGTATTTGTAGAGAGCCAGGTTGCTGCAGGTCCGGAGCCGAATTATATTGGGCCATTTAAGCCCCCTAAATAGCTATCGCCTGTCCCTATGTGTGACCTAACATCCTTGGGACTATTAGGGAAAGCCCTTTGGAATGTACAAACATCATTTAGCTTCCACCAACACTAAGAGTCACCAGCTA